TATAAATAGGATGGTTTATTATTTTAGCTTTTCCTTGTTTCAGTGTTTTCTGCCCGTCCTGTGGGGCTGTGCCGAAAACAGTTGGCCTTCCGAAACATTTGGCGAGATACCATCGAAAATTTCTCCAGAAGAGGGGTCTCAGTGCAACAACCATTGCAAAAGGACTAAGGTGCTTCCTTTGGGTGTCTGAATTGGAACTTCAGCGCACTTTTAGTAATTACTTTATTTTAAGGGGGACAATAGTGAAGGGGCTTAAGGCAATGGGCTGTGAAGTTCTGCAGGGCCTAAGTGCCCTGCTTCCCACTGCAACTGGCAAGAAAAGTGCAAAGCCAAAGAAGATAACGGTTTTTAAGCAGTCCGAGTGTCTCTCATCTACGCCTCCAACCGTTCAACTCGTCAGCGTACCTTGCGCCAGTCCAGTAGTTTCAAGCCCAGAAAAAACACCCCCGAGAAGGTCTTCTATTGAGAGTTCCGATTCCTCATTTGGTGTCGTCACACCACTCAGGACAGTAGCAACAGCACCGGAGAGGCTTACAGGTGTCACAGCACTTTCATCCAAAGCCACTAAAGCCAGGAGGCCCATCCCGGTAGAGGCAACAAAGCCCACCCCAGTGAAGGCGCCTAGGCCGGTAGCAGTAGACACTGACATCCTGGATGAAGTTGATATCCCTCGTTCCATGTTTACCGTAAACCGGGGTAACTTGAGACAGCAAGGGTAACTTGAGACACTTCTGCTTTTCCACCTTTTCGGAGCTACCACCTGGCTCGGCACATTCGGAGGTCAAAACTGCCCCAGCACTTTTTTTCATACTTGTTTGGAAAGACGATTAAGCGTTTGCATGGCGGGTTAGGACTAAGCTGGTCAGTTCTACAACGATTTTTCAATTTTAGTAAATTTGACAATTTTAGAGAAGTGTTACACACTGAGAAAAAAGTCTGGTTAAAAGTACCAGACCAATCCTAGTTAAACGAGTACTAGTTACTCATACGAGAATCCTAGTAACTCTCACCAGATGATCAGTTGCAGTAACCAGATCGGGTGTTGTGACATTTACCAGGTGTCTGGTTAATAATCCTGGTTAATTTTACCAGACTGTTCCGTAATTGGCACCATACGTAAAACTTCGAAATATTCGTTTCAATTGAAATGTTTGGGTGTCAAAAAGTAAACTGCAACCGGTTTCGTTATTTTCGGAGTCTTAAATCCGAAAGAAACACTGGGAGTATTTCCCTGAGCCAGACACGTAGAGAGTCACCTGGTGGGGATCCCCTCGACCCACAGGCGACGTGGTGGCGCAGTGGTAACGTGCCCGTCTCACAAGTGTGAGATCCCGGTTCGAATCCGGAGGAGAGGAGGAGGGAAAAAAACAATTCAGAGGTTGTTCGTTAACGAAATCGACGTCACATCAGGTTTCATCACTACGAAAAAATATTTTATTAAATTTTGGACTTCTTACTTCAGTTTTGTAAGCACATTAACTAACCAGGATATTTGGTAAAAACTACCAGAAGGAGACCTGGCGGCATTGTGAGGATAACTATAAATCTGGTACGGTTTACTAGACTGAGGCCAACTAGACAGTTTAGTATTTTTTACCAGAATTCTAGTTGAGTTATATTCTATCAGACAGTCTGGTATTTGGTACCAGGATTCTGGTTATCGTTACTAGACTTTTTTTTCAGTGCAAGTCTCCCTTGGTACTCGAAACACGTCTTGCTGAGACCCAAATGACCATAGTATCTTTCAACCCCATTATTTCAACATTCTAAATGCGGCATTGGTTTTGAGGGAAACCCATCATTCATCGGGTAATACTGACTTTTATAGAAAATGGTAACTGTGCGGGGTAACTTGAGACACCAAATTTCATTGAATTTGACGGAAGTTGAGTGGCGTAGCTTGACACTGGCACCTCCATGTACTACAGGGTGGTTTAAAGTAACGGATCTCTCCGTTCTTAGATCAAAACTAAGCCGCATTTGATCGGGAATCACATTTTTAGACAGTGTAGAGGGTCCCAAGTGGATATGCAGCTTAAAGTTGGAGTGTTTTCTCAACTACTCACGGACCAGATGAGACATAATAAATCCTGGGGTCTCAAAAGATGGGGAATTTAATTACCTTTCCAACGAGCTAAATGTCATTGAAATCGGACAACTTATAGCCCAAGAACCGTCGATTTTTTGAAGAAAAACAACTGTAAAAATAGTTAAGGGATTTTGAGTAAATTTTAAAAATTGACTAAGACTATATACCTTTGCAGGAATGGACTTGTGTACGTAGAAATAACGAAAAATGTCTCAACAGGTGTCAGGGTTGAATGCGAAATGAGAGAATCGCTGTACTTAGTTGACAGGGTTGGATGTGAAATGGGAGAATCGTTGCGCTTCTGAAGTGCCGTTATCCCTCAAATTACCGAATGTAACTTTGATGAAAAAATCTTAATATAACGATCAAAAATCTTCTACTATATTCCACAAGTAGTACTTTTCATCGGAAATAAGTTAAATGTCTCAGAAAATCAGTATGGACTGGCAAAAACCCCACTTCCGTGAAAAAGCAAAGTGAAAACTAGGAGTGTCTCAAGTTACCCCAAATGACGGGGTAACTTGAGACAACTTTAGAGGCCCATTACTCTCATTTTAGGTGACCCCCAAAAACTTCATGGGGTCCAAACCGAATGTTATCATGTGAAATTAAACATAGTTGGGATTCGGGTTGGTGAGAGAAGTTTTGTGGACACACGGTCCAAAAACCGTGAAATATTGTCTCAAGTTACCCCGGTTTACGGTAATCAGCTAAGAAGGATTCTCGCTAGCTAGAGGTAGAGGTAGGGTGTTGAGCGACACCGCAGCTTTGCAGAAATATTTCGAGTCTCGGTATGGCAATGCAACCATGACACTGCACAGGGATGTGTCCGTTCTGCTAAGTGCAATCAGAAACTGTAAGACAAAGCTTCCTGGATCAAAAGGTGCCATAGCTTGGCTTCTCGAATTACGTGAGGGCCTGGGGCGCAGGCCGGACTATGAAAATTCCCTTCCCCGCGGCAATTCGGTAAATGTCAAGTCCTTTTTGGTTCTTGCCGAAGGAAAGATTGGAGGCTGGCTAAAGCCCCTTAAGGAGGCCTTTCCAGAAAATACAAGCATCAACTTGCAAAGACGAGCTGGTATTTCGGCGGCCTGGCTGAGAGCAAACAGTTTCCTGTTCCACAAACTAAACGCCCAGATGGGGTTTGGAGAAGCGCAACGGTAAGACTTTGGCTCGTCACTTGCACTGTGTTCCTTTTGTAATAATGTTTTTCTTTTGTTAATTAAAAAAAAAAAACATCTGAAATTTTGTTAATATTGCTTTCAGGTTGACCGTATCAGAAGTCAAGCGTCTTTTGGAAAACAAGTTCCTAAGTGCAACCCTGCAGGAAATTAAGGGATACCTGAATGACATGCTCAGGCTCAGAGTACGCCTTTCAGCAGCTTCAAATTTATTTTTCTTGAACACAAAGTGCAAGCCCTTGGAGGCAAAGTTAATGCTTTAATCAATAAAAGAGATCCTGGTGTAAAATGTTTCAAGTTTGTTTCATTAAGGAGGCATTAATACCGTTCAAACACGTGAAATCGTATCGAAAACCGGAAATTCACACAAACCGTGACTTCAAAGTCACCCACACAGTGACAGGGGTCACGTGGTTTGAAATCACGTAACGAGCTCGAGGGGGGGGGTTGAAATTCGGGGGGGGGGGGGGGGGGGGCAGAGAGGGGTCACAGTTTGAGTGACTTCAAAACAAAGCGATTTCCAGTACAGAGCCATCCATTCGACAATCTTTACTTTTCACTGTCAAACCTTGCTCAACTCGTCGCCAAAACATACTAATCCGAACGTCTCGTGACGCTAAACGTTACCACTCCGTAACGGAACGGTAACGTGACGGTCACGTTTTGAGGACCGTCACGTTTGCGGTGACCAAGCGCCAGGTTTACTGGCCCGCAGCACAAGCTGTTGAGGTTTGACAACCAATTTTACCGAGTGGGCTACGCCACAACAACACTGCAAAAATTTCCGTGCCACAGTACGGAACTTGGTATGGAAAATAATGGTACGGAGGGATGACGGATACGGAATCATACCCTAAAAGTCTGTCATATTGATGATACGTACATTCCGTACTCAGTCCTGTACAGACTTTGACCGTTCTTTTTCCCCAAAAGTACCAAGGACAGAGCACGGAAGTAAAGCCGTGCCAAAAAACTCTACTGGATGAGAACACGGACAACGCGTAGCAGGTCCAACACAGACTTTATCCGTCCTTTTTATCTCAAAAGTACCAAGAGCAGAGTACGGAGGCAAAGCCGTGCCATAAACCTCAACTAAATGAGAACACGGAAAGGGCGTAGTAGGCCAATTACAGACCAGTTCCGTACTAAACTCCAAAAAGTAACGATGGTTAAAGTACAGAAGCGTAGGTGAAGTAGGTCTTCTACAGATCAATTCCGTATTCTCTTCCAAGAAGGTACTAAACTCAAACGGCATAACCAAAAGTTTTCTAACAAAGATCTTGAGTTCAAAGACAAGGGGTATCTTGATCAATTCCAATGTATTTTTTGAAAGCTACTTCCGCAATGTTTGAATGGAACTTAAAGGAACATTTAAGTATCTAAGTTCTCTAAAGAAACGACCAGAAGTTAAAATTTATATTAATTTTAAAACCCTTTGTTGGTTACCAACTAATATTTTTTGTTGTATTGGTTATGGTGTTCTTCCACTTTTTGAACACAATGACAGTAAAGCCTCACTATTTAAATACTTCCCTATGGAATTGGTGCCCCCCTCCCCTCTCCCAAATTCTCCTTGATCTTCCTACAACAACAATTACTTACATGATGTGTAATATCCTTGCAATGCAGAATGAAGAGTTCATCCATCCACAGAACAGCACAACGCCAATACAAGGCTGTAAGTACATTCGTCCCACTCTTTCAATCCACGTCACATCACAGTTAAAGAAAGGTTCGACGAATGTAATCCACTTTGAAGATCGTCCACGGGATATAATGTTTCTTTGAAGGTTAAACTTAAAGAGTCGAGGCAGCCTATACAATCTTTCATGGCCCATTTTGTCAGTAGTCACTGGCCTAGTCTAGAAAAGAATATCAGAGACAAACGAAACCGTGCCACATCAAACTGAACTTCTGTGCAAGAACCGAACGATGAACTATTGAAAATGAAATGGATGGTACACAAAAAAGACCTTGAACGTCTTGAAATCATGTAAACTAGATACTAGATCTAAGCAGAACGAAAAGGTAAACAAAACAGGTTGCTGCTACAGCACCAATTTCTCATCTTTCTGCACTCTGAAAGTATGAGAAACTTACTGCTGGTCAACAGCAATAACAGAGGCTATAACCTGCAACTCGACCAACGTGTGCGTGCTGTCGAGAGAATTTGGCGTCTTGTCGAATCAAATCAACAATTTGGATGTATTCGTGCTCACTCCAGATTTTAAAGGTGCGATTTTATTTCTTAAATGATAGCTGCATGATCACTGCTTGTTTCCTTGACCCTTTCTGTGGCGTCTACTGGTCTGCAAAGGCCTACTTTGCTGTTGTGTTTTGAAGTGTTATCAGAGCTTGGCACTTTCACGTTTTTGTACTCCTCTCGATAAAAATAGCAGTAAGCTGGTAATTATCTCATTTTCTCTGGATAACTACGTCCTACTCAAGCTGCGCCAGCTCCAGAGTTTTACATACTAGCAGACAACTTATCACAATTATCCTCATAGGCCTAAAGAGTGTGTTTTCTTCTCTGCTATTAACGTAGTGATGCGATTTGTGCCGCAAGTTATCTCCGCTTCACTCCAAAAGTGGCTTTTTTTTATGCTTTTACTGATCGTAGTGATTTGAGTGCAATTCAACTATATTCAATTCCTCTTTTAGTAGCACTGTTTATTCACAGGTTAATGGCTGTAGTATAGCTTTGTGTCTTTAGATTTATCCTCAAAATTAGCTCATAAATAGACATTATACAATAAACATACCTGTTTTGTGCGAGGCAAAATAATGAATAGTGAAATATTACCAACAGGATGAATAAAATCTCTTAACGCTCTACAAATCAAAGAGTGTACATGGTACGCTCTAACTGGAGCATGCCTGCAAGCACGCTCTAACTAGCGCATGCCTGCCAAGCATGCACTAACTAGTGCATACATGCCAGGTACACGCTAACTGAAGCATACATTTACTGCATAAGGGATAGGGAGTTTTCTGCATCAGGAAGCGTGTACATGGCATGTATGCACTAGTTAGTGCATGCTTGGCAGGCATGGGGGCTGGGGCTTAAGAGCGTACCATGTACACTCTTTGATTTGTAGAGCGTGTCAATGTCGAATGAATACAAGTGCCAACCGATGTTTCACCTTGATGTGTTTCTGTTGCAGGTGCAGCACGTTATCAGGATTAAGGAAGGAGTAGCCGCAGACCTACTTCATGAAAGTTGTTTTGAAGTCGTCAACCTGCTTCTATTTCATCTGATGTTTCTTGCAAGCATTACCCGTTTCCAGTATCATTTCGGACCATCTTAATTCAGCAAACTTGTTAGTCACATTCATGGTGAGGCATTTCTTGTGATCACTCATGACCCTTTTGGCTTAATTGTTCATATATTAAAATTAGTTTTCATGATGTAAATTTTCAATTAATTGTGTTTCCCTCTTCTATTTATAATAATTTTTTTGTTTCAGGTATCTTGAGTTTAAAGCAACAGAGACTCCTGAGGTTTTGAGAAGTGTTTGGGAAAACATCATACCTTTCAACATCTGATGCATTGGGAGTCAGTTTCTTGAGAAGTATGGCATTATAATTTCCCATCAGTTCCAGCCACATATTTTTCAGAGGTAAATGAATCATGAAATGTTAGTTGTAAACATAGAAAGTGACAGCAGACTCAAATGTTAGTAAAAACAAGGAATTATCTGGGTAATTTCTTGAATCTGATCAGTTATTTAGTGATTTAGAGAAGGATTAACACCATTTTGCTCCTTTGTATTGTCAAAGTTTATATTATGAATGGGGTGAAATGATAGTTTTGGTCTTGACAGTTCTATCAATAACATAAATTTATTGGTTCCATATTCAATTGTAGTTTCTGTCAAAATAATTTGATATCCTAGTTTTAATAAACATTTGAAAAGTTAAATTAGTAAATATATTACTTGGCTTTAATACTGTTATGATATGAAACAATAGAGAACATAACCAAAGCACGGCCTCTAGACGGTCATTCCCCTAGTTTTTCAACCACTGCCCTAGTGATACTGGCCAGGACCTCAACCCTTCTTCTTTCCATTCTTCCCCCAAAATACCCTGGTTCCTAAATCCCGTTGGCCATGCACCCCCACTCTCCACTATTGTTCTTCCCTATGTTCTTCTGCATCTGTAATATAAAGGCGCGCTGTCTGGCGCCAGCTACCATTCTGTACACGGTCACCTTGTTGATAATACAGAAGCTTCCGTCTCCACGAGACCTTCGACTACCCTTTCCCTCCAAGTCCCTTACACTGCCACACTATAACACTGGTGACAGCGGTTAATCGGGCTTTGAGGTTAAGGTCGGTCTATGCCTTCCCTGTTAGGGGGGAGGAGAGTGAGTGATAGCGCGAGAGTTTGAACTTAGCAGTTTTCGAGTCAGTGAGTGCTAGTGTGTGAACTTGAAGCTAGTAGAGGCCCACCACAACCAATACCAGCGTGTGAATCGTGATTGAAAAAGCTGCTAACTCAAGCTAACGAAAGTGGATACCTGTGTGTGTAATTGAATCGAGCTTATCCACTGAGGCCAGGCCCCACCTGACTTCTGAGGTTAGGTTCTCGAGTGTGACTCTGAGAGAGAAAGAGTGTTGGAAACTCGCCGCAAGGTTTGAGTGTGTCCAACAGGAATACAAGGGAGTGCTAGAAATAATTGGCTGAGCGATAGCGAAGCCTGTTACTCCAGTGGGGTTGAAAAGTTTTTTGGCTGAGCGATAGCGAATCCTGTTACTCCAGTGGGGTTGAAAAGCTTTTCCTGTCTGTCTGTTTGTCTGTCTGTCTGTCTGTGTGTCCGCACTACTCCTCCTGAACGGCTCGGCCCATATCAATGAGATTTTGCA